TATTATTCTCTTTACTTTATTTATTGTAAGAAGTAAGATAGGTAGGGGGTGGGGGGGGGGGGAACAAAAAACGATTTAAGTTTTGGAAATTAATAAAGCAAATATGGATTTCAGTTTTAAGAAAAATTATCATGCAGTACATCAATGCCTAGTGATTAAGGTAGAAGAAAAAAGTTAAAATTACATAGTATTTGTTGATTTGAGCAGTTTATAGATTATGAAACTAATCGTAATATGAAAATCAAAATGATGTCCCCAACCTCAGTGGGAAATGTCTTGCAGATTACTTTTTATTTAAGGAAGTTTATTAAGTGGGAAACTGTTTCACACTAACTCATTTTCTTAAACAATTAATACATCAAATTATTTGTGAGACCTTAACTTTTGTGGTTATATGATTCCTAATAACATGCAAATTACAAAAAATTGTAAGCCATAGATGTCGTCAAAATGGCAATTTTACAAATTAATACTGAAATCCTCTATGTATTTTACTTAGAAAACGTATTAGTTCGACCATTATTTTGGGTTAGTTCTTTATAGAGTATTTTAACAAGCAAATCTGTCAAATAGCTCAATGTTATGCAATACTGAAATTCCATCAGTAGTGAACTGTATATATATAAAAAAAAATCTTGTAATGTGAACCTTGAAATAATTCAATTTAGAATAAGGTAACTTAGGTAACTGGAAATTATAAATTTTTTATGTTAGAAATCATACAATCATCTGTAATGTTTATTATGATTTCTGTGGTTAAACTGCTTTCAAACTTATTTAGTAATATTTATGAAGTTGAGTAAATAGAAAAATCTGACTATTAACATTACATTATTAAAATATTTTGTAAGTTTCTTTTAACAAAACATGTTTATTACATGACTAAAGTTTGTTTGTTTGTGTGGCTCGTAGATATCTTTCCTTGACTGATCTGAATCACATTTTGGATCGTGCTAAAGGACTAGACACAACAGTTGAATGGAACTGGGAAGATGTTCTGTCTCCGGGAGAAATGCAGCGACTTTCTTTTGTACGATTGTTTTACCACTGTCCTCAATTAGCAGTCCTGGATGAGGCTACAAGTGCAGTGGGTCAAGAAATGGAAGAGGTGTTGTACAGACAGTGTAGTAACCTTGGAATCACTCTTCTTAGTGTTGGTCACAGACAAACTTTAACCAAATATCATGACAAGATTTTATGGTTTGATGGAAAAGGAGGATGGCAGTTTCGAAACTTGCAACCCAATAAAATGGGTGATACTGTGCCAGGCGTAAGCACGTAAGTTTTTGTATAGATTAGCTGCTTGACTCATGATCAAATATACTCCTGAATTATGTTACCAAAAAAAATACTCAAACTTTTATGCATGACATACCTGAAGGAAATTTCATGTACATTTCAAACTTAAGATTAATTTTGATATCTTGTTCATATTATCATTATCCAAAAACTCATCCATCATAGATTAAAAAAAAAACTTTTAAATTTAAACAAAACCCAGGTAAATGTACCCCGAAGCATTGAAAAACAAATACTTCTTTATAAACAAAATTCCCTTTTATAGTAAATATATTGATAATAAATAATACAAATGTGTGAATTTTGATCTAATTCCTTAACCATCTATTTAAAGCTGTTTTTCTTGAGTATTTTCAAGATAAATTATTCAAGATCATATCAAAGATCTCCAGTTGAAAATTCTGAAGAATTTCATGAAATCTATGATATACAACCAAACACTGCTCCTGAACAAAATTTTAAAATGTTTCTTATATTTTTATTTTAGTATTTTACATACTGTATTAGCTTAACCTGTCAGAAAATTAGATGTATTAATATTGGAAATAACTGTATAGTAGCAGAATTAAATTGCCTCTCATAAACACAACTAGATATTTGTGTTAGGATTCTTTAGTCTTATTCAATTAAGTACATGTAGTTACAAACTAATTGAGAAAAAAAAGACAGTTAGGCTCTATAAAAGCAATATTTATGTTGGTGTGTTGCTTAAGAGAAGTATGTAAAAACTATGCTCTGATAGTAAGCATAATCCACAGCAAACATAAATTTGCCTTAGAATTAGCATTTTTCTGTGCCAGATATGAATAATGAAACAAAATGTGTATTTGAAAAATACAAATCATTTATCTTGTGAAATAAAAAAAAACATTATAGCTGATTAGTACTAATTGCAATGGATTAAAACAAAATTATTAGCCATTAGAGATTTGCCTTAAAATGTACCTTAACGTTACAAGTCTCACAGCTTGAAGCTGTACTACCTTATGTTACTATTATGTTGTGGAAAACTGTTTCTCTATCCATATCTGTACATGTATGTGTTGTGGTCAGTTGCAAAGTTTGTAAAATCAAAAGGCATTGTATATTTATATATAAAGTATTTGTGCCAAATTTGAGACATCTAAATCTGCCAAGGTAATTTTTTATGTATAAAATTTCAAGAATATAGGAAACCTTCCAGAGCATTGTGTGTTAATAACTTGGTTAGAATTAGGGACACTGCATACTGTGTACCATAAGATGATCAAAGTATTTTGACATGTGAAAATTGGAATTTTTTTAGTCAGTATTTGTTGTAGAATTGCTCAATTTTGGTTAACTAACCATCATATTGCTGTAGGGACTGATAGTGTCCTATTTAGATGAGTGTTATTAATTAATGTCTATGTATTTTGCAATAAACCATTAGAAACCACTCAGAAGTATTCCCACCAGTCATAGTCAGAATACATGTAGGCATTATGGAAACAAATTATTTTGTGAATAATTGAACTGTGTACTGTTAAAGCCAGGATGCCTTAGTTTTACCTCCCATACTTAGTTAATAATTACTGTCACATCCAAACATAATAAAAAAAAAATTTAGGTGTATACAGTTTCTGCTGGGTAAAAAAGCAGTTTTTAATCTTCATTGTGATAATTAATGGAATTTAAAAATTTTAATTTTTGCATATCTTGGCAAAAAGAAAGTATGCAGAATAAGGTATAAAAGGTCCCAAATATAGATGCTTTTATAAATTAGCATTTGTATAAACATTTAACTTGTAGATCAAGATTGATGCTTTTTAAATTAGCAATACTTACTGTTCTTGTCAAACTACTACTACCAGAGATAATAGATACTTGTTTATTTGCAAACAAACACCTCTAAAATAAGAGTTGGAAATGCCAGACTATTTATAAACAACTCTTATTAATTATTTTATTTGCAGACTTTCCATTGGATAAGAATAATTTATTCTGTATAAAATATTTAGATTGCAGGACTCGTTTCTATGGTCATTGTTTTAAACTTTTTTCTAAACATATATGGAACAAGTTAGGTGGTTTTAAATATTAGATTATAAAGTTGGAATAACACAAAGCTGGAAACAACTCCAACCCATCAAGTAATACAAACAAGCTTATGTAAAATTTTTAGTGTAGGAATTTCATAAGGAAATGATTTTCTTTCTTGAAGTTTTTTATTATTTATGATAGATTGCTGATTCAGAAACTTATACTTCTGTTCTCTTTCTACAATAAAATTAATAGTTTTATTATTTTGTATGCAATATTGCCAAAAATAGCTTCTCAAATGAATGAAAAATTCTTACCAAAACATTTATTAGTTATTTTAAATAACATATGCAATATGTTTTAATGGTAAACAGAAGAAAAGATGTGGGAAACCATTATGCTGTGAATGAAACTAGCTTTTTAAATGTATTTGTATAATACTAATAAATTAGCAGATATACAAATTATAATTGGAACATCTTCTGGTAAAGTGTTGGATATATAATATTGTTTTTTGTCATTTTTTGAAACTACCGTATTGGCCTGATTATAGGACAATATTGAATATAAGGCAACCCCCATTTTTAGAAATCATGGGAAAGAAAAAAATTGAGTGTCATAACTTTTTTAGGTCCACAAAATCAATGCTATAACTGAACAGTCTGCAGGTGGAATTAGTTGCAATAATTAGTGCTGACCTTGAGCAAACATCTGGTGTACATGTGTAAACGGATGCTATCTAGACAGACTAGAATAGGGGGAAGGGGGCTGAGGTCAGCTGCAATTTTAATGTGATTATGAATTTTACAGCCTAATTATTAATAAAAAAACTTCACCTTATAATTGAGCCAATATGATAGTTTTTATATTTTATGTACATGTGCAGTCTGTTTGCTTCTGTATTAAACAACACTGACATAGCTAGGCTTTTGATTTTTAATCAGATGAATTTAAATTGTTGTTTTTTAAATACTTCACACTTTAATTTGGGCTTGTCAAAACTGTAAGTTTAAAACACACCCAAGGGTTAAAGAGAAATGTTTGTTGATATGTGAAAAATGCATATAATGAAAGAGTCGGTAATTAATACTTGTAACCAGCCTACAAAGTTGTGTTCATAAGATAAACAGTTAGGATATTATGAACACAGTAGGTATATCTTCAGTTAGTTTGACATGACAAATTTAATGTAAATTTTGTTATTACTGATAGTCAGGTCTTTTGGTGTAAAAAGTGTTCTTTAGTGACTCCTAGTTTAGAAAATATATGCTGATGATCTGTGTTTTTATTACAGAATATTTTCTTGTGTAACAATATTAAAAATTAAATTTCATATTATTTGAGATATACATATATAAAGTGAAAATAAATATTCAAGCACATGCTTTTTAAGAGCTAGTTTTGTGTATATTAAATGTGGAGCTTGGTAATCAAAAATATCATTTCCATGTTTAATATCATTACAAGTCCTTGGAATAAAAATTGTAGCCCCTAGTATTTTAATGTAAAAAAAAGTTATTGGATGTACCAGTATTTGTTTTTTTTCTTCTACAATACTTAAATTGATTTTTTATTTAAAGCTATTGGAACAGTCTACTGAAGTGTTTAAAAAAATTAAAACTTTTTCAATGACTCCATTCTCCTGCCTTTTTCAATGCTTAAAATTGCAAGGGATTATTTTGAAACATATCTTACTCATAAGGTAACAAAAGACTTTATGCATAGTGGCCAGATCTAATATGAAAGCTTTTGTCTATGCAATAAAGATGTAAAAATGTAGTAAGGAATAATTAAAGTAGTTTGTTTTAGTGTATAATGTTTGATAATTTCACATGTTGTGTTTTTAGAGCTGTAGTAGTAGTAGTACTTAGCAAAATGGTCATATTAATGTTTTAAATATAAATAATGCTATGTTGCATGAATAATATGCATTTGTATATCAGGGTGGTCCATTTCTACTGTAAGAATATTTGTTGCCTTTTTGTACATCTCTTAATATCACACACACAAAAAAAAGGTGGGGGTTGGGAAGTTTTACATTGAGAATTTCAGGGTGATTTTATTCTGCCTTCTCACAACTGGCTGCAGACAAGGAAAAGCAGTATTGAGTTGAGGTTGTAGCATTCAACTCCAAACCCTCCACTGACTTTCATGACATTGGTGTCTGGATCTTGATTGATAGATAGAATATATCTAATACATTTGGGTGCTATGGCCACAGTCATTATCCGTTATGACCTAAAGATGACAATGAGGACTGGTAATGAAAGAATTTTTTTTTTTCGTTGTGTGTGTGTGTATACACACACAAGTATGAATATAATTATAAATAACTTCTTAGATTTCATATATTGAGTTAATTTACTGTAAAACTGTTGACCCTCTACCAGTGATTTCTTTGAATTCAGACTTAACGTGATTTAAACATATTACTTGCAATGCAAACCTCTTTAGCTGCACTTCTGCCATCATGTAAAATTATTTTTTAATACCTTTACATGCTTTAAGGAATATCCACATATAATGTGAGAGTTCTAAGTTTATAGCATTACTTATCATATCTAGAACCAGACTAATGACAGGTGTGATCAGTATCCACATGTAATATATGAATCTCCAGTACCAATCTGGTGAGAGGAGTGATAAATATACACACAAGAATAATACTATACATTCTTGTGTTTATTTAACAACAATTAATAATTACCTGCAGAATGATTTTTAATAAAACATGCATAGTTAAATTTTGATAAAAATAAGTTTGAGACATGTATTTTATAAAATTAATTTGTTCATAAATTCATCAATCACAGCTACATCTTAGACCATCACATCTTGAGGAGAATAAAGAATTTTATTAGATGATTTACTAATAGTTGCGTGCTCAATACTTCATCAACATATGCATTAGGGAGATGAAAACAGAAGCATGATTTAAAGATAGGTGAGAAATTCGTTCTGAATAAGGAGATAAGTATGAGTGATTAATACTAACTTTTGACCAGATCAAGCTATGTACTTACAGCAATATTAAAAAATAACCTGGCACTCAGTACATCTAATTAAATATAATTTTTGTACACTCTTACTTATAAAGATTAGGCTATAATCCTAATGATATCTCACATGGGTAGACCAGCTTAGAAAATTTAAGTTTGTCCTAAAAACGTATATTAAGGTAACAATGCATAAAAGAGTCTAACCAATACTATTAATTAAAGCAACAATAAATATATATTTTATGTAGGGAACACAAACACAAGTTGAATTAGTGTAGTAGCATTAATTTTCTTTGAAAAATGTAACATCAATATAATGCCTAAATTTTCTCTAATTCACCCTAACATATCTTGACCAATGAAAACTCGTTAAACCATGCTGCAATATAACTTTTAAAAGTGTGGTATCTGTTACAAATTTAACAGATTTTGTTGCCACAAGTTTAAAAAATTAGGATACCTAGGTTATTTCTGCTGTGATGAATATACAATGAAGAATAATTCTGTGAGGTTTTTTATGTAAGGGTAATCTGCATGGATCAAGAGAATTTACAGAGTCTGTTTGGTTTGTATTGAAAGGCAAGTGAATTTCTCATGTACATATCCTCTAACAAAACCTTAAAATATTTTCCTACTGGTAGGGGGCTTTTTCCATGTCCTTCAGCAAGATCGTTCATTGGAATCTCATTAGAAAGGATCCCACAATCCCTTATAATATGCTCATTTTGAACACTATTTTCACACAAGGTAAAATTTTATAATTAATTAAAACTGTTATAATTCCAAACAATATAATTTACTGAGGCATACTGAACAGTAATAAGCAGAGCTTCTCCTAAGGATTTTTTTCAACTGCACAATTATATTTTTTCATTTTTTAATACATGATGCCTTATTGCACCTCATGTATACAGGCCTAGTAAAAAATGATCCAAAAAATATACATTCTAGTAAATGCATTTATTTATCAACTCTGGAATGGAATTTTATAATCTTAAATATATGTTGTTTTTTTTTAATATTTACCCACTTGGACTTACTTATCTAGGTAAATTTTCAGGTTATAAGGGAACTAGTCTAGTTTATAATTATTCAGGTGTGCTGTAAAGATTTAAAAAATATAAGTCATTTTATGAATAAACCGTGTTCAGTTTGATAACATAATAATGAAATGGAAGTGATCTTTGGAGGCAAATTTACAGTAAATGAATATACAACGAAGAATAATTCTATGAATTTTTTTTCAACTATGTTATTAGAAATGTGGTTACATTAGATTACACTATGTAGTAAGATGGTCTAGCACCTTATAATAAACTATCGTTAAGCTAATATATTCAAATATCCCATAAAAGAATCAATAAAAGTAAATCATAAATAATTTTGACCATATAAATCTGCTTGCTACCTTGGTAATACGGGGTTAAAAATATGTACAAGTCTTTTCAAAAACAAGTTTGAATATTTCTGCCACATGACATACAGTTAAATAACTAATTCAAGTAGCTTTTTTTTTTTATCTAAAAGTTTGGAAAAAATATACCATCTTAGATTTCCAGAAAAGGATAAGTTATAAATGGCCTTTATGTAAAAAATTCATTGGGCAAAATTTTATTGCAGTAATTGTAGTTTTCTTGATATTTCAGAAACAACAGTAAACACTTAATATTAACAGCTGTTTTTATATTTATAAACTTCTCCAAAATGTAACAGAAAAATAACATTTTTTAAGTGTATGAAACAACTTTCTGTTGTTTGAAGGATCAACATTGAACTCTACCTGCACAGAGTCAGTCTACCGAACTGACTCAATATTATGTTAAGAGGCAACACAATACAGTCAAAACTTCTCAAGCTTCGTGTGTTCTTTGACACCAAAATTAATAATGTAAGGTATTTTAGTAAATAATATAACTAAAACTAGAGCTGAAGACCTGTAGAATCACAGTAACCAATACAATCTAAGGTGCAACTAAACCTTAGTGTGATCAAAATTGTATGATATAATGATCCTATAAGTTATGAACTGTAGAACAGTGAGAAATTATCCTTAGTTAAAAATTCATATATGAGATTTAAAATTAAGTGCAATAAAAGCACGTGTTATGGCAGATACTAGTTAAATTGTAAAACTAGGACCCAAAATAGTTTTAAGGTTCAACAAATGTATATAGGAAGTGTGTAGATTTACAATAAGACATTTAGATGTTAAAATAATACTATGAGACCTAATGAGTAATATTTGTATCAGCTCGTATATTAAAAGCTTTTTAGCAAGGATGTATTGAACTTGATGCCCAATTATTTTCATGGTATGCTGAATATTTCAGTATCAAGTATAAAAGCTCAGGACAATATTAAAAATAAATAAATAAAACTGCCATTTTACTGCACCAAGACACAATACAAAAAAAAAATTAAGTTTCCACAAGTAAGAGTTATATTTAAATATTTCAAGTAAATGATATTTTGTAAGTTGGAAAAGGGTGTGCAAACTATTTTTTATGTTTGGTAAACAATGTTTTCTTGTAGTAATATATGAACTCTTCTAAAACAAGCTGTTTTTTTTTTTTTTTGCAATAAAAATGGACATAAAAATCTTTACTACTAAATTTTAATGAGTGACTTTGTAACATTTTTACAATAGACTTTATGTGAAATCAGTTGAAAAGTCGTAATCTTCCATAGTGTTGATACACATAGCATTTTCCAGGGACGCTGAAAGTTTATTAGCAACTTTTTCTGAAAAAAGAATAAAAAAAATATATATGTATATACATGTCAGCAGGTAGAATTTTACCTACAATCTAATATCTTGGTTGTAACTTTTCTGGAAAAAAAAATTTTTATCAAAGATTTGTTACTATTCATATTTTCACAAATTGGCTGATTGCAAAATATAAAAAAAAAATTCTTATCCTGGTCACATTGCAAAATTATATTTAATACCATGTTAGTTTTAGTTGTCAGATATACAATAACTATATATATATAAAATTAAAAGATTAATTCAGACTACATACAAACTGACAAAAGTCTAACTAAAAACATAAATTACATTACTTTTAGCCTTCAGGACTAACTTGTTCTCAATTCAGTTTAATATTTTGATCATTTAGAAAACAAATAATGATTCATTTCCAAGTTTATCTAAAACACAAACATAATTCTAACTTGAGTATTACATAAAATTTGTAGACAAATAATGTTTTAAGAATTCAGACTTTCAAATCTTACTATCAAATTTGTTTGTTTTGGTGCAAAGCTTTTTGTTTGCTTGTTCAAGAGCAAAGTCATGTTGGACTATCTGCTTGTCCACTGTGGGAATCGAACCTGGATTTCAGTTTTGTAAATCCATAGACTTACAGCTGTCCCAGCAGGAGACTGGTGTAAAGCTACACAACAGATTATCTGTGATTTGTCCATCACAGAAAATTGAATTCTGGATTTTAGCATTTTAAGTGTGTAGACTTGATGGTACTACTATCAAGACTTTATAAAATTTGAATGAAATGAATATGAAATTTTATTTAGCACACCAATTATGTTTTATCAGTGTAAGCTATAAAAAAAAAGTGATTGAATACTGCTTCAAGAATTAATTTTCTTGGCCAAACATGCAAAAAAATGCCAGATTATTTCATTTTTATTACTTCTAAAAGTTCTATTTCCACTACATTCTGATATGCTTATTTCATGTAGGCAATGGAACCCACTATAGCAGCACTTGATCTTATTTTATACCTGCTCTGTTCTAAAGGGTCATAATATTATTGTTTTAATAGCCTTTAATTTTATCAACCCGATAATGTATTTCTGATAGATACTCATAGAATTAGTTACATCCCTCACGAATCTGTTTATGACATTTCCACATGCAACTAACCTTGAGATAACTCCCATTAAAACATCATGTGTTTAGCGTGAACTGTGCTAGTGCATGATGACATCATCATATGATGATAGCCATTCATCAATAAGAGGGCGATATAACCTCCTTGCACTGTAACTCCCCTTAAGCACTTGCACTTGAAATAACTTCAATCTTTGACAAGGCATGAAGAAAGTGCATTGGAAGTGGGAAGGTGTGTAGAGAGGTATCTATTGGAAATGCATTTTTAGATAAGGAAAATGTTAACTTTCAAGACAATACCTCACCTCCGCACATAAAATAGCTAGAATCCCACAATAAAATGGTGGAGTAGCTGGTGCAAACATTAAACCTAGATAAGCTCCCTTCAGAAACCACCTTAAGGGAAAGCCCATGGAGAGCAATACTTGAGGGCAGAGGCTCCATAGGGGCACACCTATGGGAGATCTCAACTCAACCAGGATATACTAGTCACCTGGAAGAAAATAAGAGGCAAAAAAAGTCCCAAGTGTTCTAGGGATGGGCAGAATTTTTGCGTGACCAACTAAGCAAGCACCAGCACAGATGTTGTCAGTGAGCCAAGTGTAGTGTGGTGAGGATACAATCAGACCATATTGTGTGTGTCTCACCTCAACTGGAAAGACTCTTGCTGTAGGAGGGAACACTAGCTGTTTGAGGGGTGACCCACACTACACAGACAGTGTCATTACCTCCCTACTACCTGTGCACAATTAGTGAGGATCTCTCCAAGGTCCACCACCCCAATGGCTAGGAACTGGTAAGTGGCAAAGGTCTCCCTTGTTCCATTGAAGAGAGAAGGGAGACTCAGAGAAGTGCCCACATCCACACTGGATGCTTGTTGGAAAGGTCTTTTACTAAAGACAGTGCAAAGGGTGACCACAAAACCCTATTTTTTAGGAGACAGTAAGTATAAGTTAAAGAAGTGAGCAGACACTTCCCTGGTACTGGCTTGTTCCACGATAGTCCATAGAATGATACAATCTGGATAAGGCAATTTTAATACCATGAAGATACCTCTAGTGTTCTTGTGAAACATCTCACCTCAACAGTGGGAATTGGTAGAGCCAAGGTGGATGGATTGAGCTCTTTCTGTTACCCTGACCAGATGCAGATTTTGTAAATAAGCATACCCTGGGAGTCAATTTCAGCCACCTGGCAGGATCCGACAAAAAGGAAAAGGGGTGCTGGAAAAGAAAATATACTTATCCTTCTCAAAGATGGTGAGTAGTTTTATTGAACAACAGTGACTGGAGTGAGAAAGGCCCAGTCTGAACAGAGGAAGAAGTAAAAGTGTAGGAAGCATCGATGAAAAGGTGAAAAAAACATGGCTTTAGAAAAAGAAGATATAATGAACATAGAACCAGCAGCTCAAACAGAACATTTGTAAGTGTGTGTAAACCCATTTCAAAGTCCAAGCAAGTATGGGAATAGGACAAGTTTTTTCAGTGAAAATGGGAGGATTGGAACAATGTGAATACATAAGAAGTAAAACCTGACAGTAACAGGAAAGGCAAAATGTAGTTGATAAAGCTGCCTGAGAACCAGCAATAATGGTGGAAAATGACAATCCATGGTTGACAACCACGTGCAAAAGACCAAAAAGTGGACCACAAGAGGAAAGGCTTATGGACCAATATTGAAAAACCCACCACTTCTGTTGATTGATGAAGAGAGTTGAAGGATGACAGGAGTGAGATAAGGAAAGAGCCGTATGATTGTAGAGTCCTGCCCCGTGAGTAATGGCCTGGACAAATCCCACATGTGAAGATGAAGTGCCAACACCCCTGGGTGAAGGAGAAACATGGTTGGAGCAAGAGAGCATGGGAATGGGGCATAGAAAGAGGGGGGCAGATGCCAATTGACAAAGCAGGGGAAACTAGAGTTATGCCAACCCAAGAGGCATCACTAACAGGACCCAACATGGAGTGTCACATACCAAAGCAAAGACATGAGGGAGAAGAAGAATAGGTGGATAAGCATACAGAAAAAAGATGAGACCCCAGTCATGGCTGAGTACAATGAATGCTAGGGCTGAAGGATGAGGAACTGAGGGGAAGTCATGGTTAGAGCCCAGCCAAGAAATGCAGTCTGCCAACAAATGTAGAGCCCCTGGCATATGACAAGCCATGAGACAAACTAAAATAAGACCTAAATAGCAGATCCAATGTGAGGAAGCAAAGAAGTTCTGGAATAGATACCCCTGATGATAGTCATATGAAACAATTGTGGAATTGTTGGAGTGGGTCATGACCAACTGGACCACAAGAAGAGGAAGGAAAAGGGAAAAAGCCTGACAAATGGCAAGAAGTTCATGGAAGTTGATGTAAGTAAACACTCCTCCTGAGCCCACATGCCCAAAGTCATGTAGTTGTTCAGACCTAGCTATTCTGTGTGAGGATATCATCTTGGAAGTATAATTTCATTATCATTTATTTTACATAATGTTAATCTAGATGAAAATATTTATTTATTGTTTATTTTTTCTGCTACTAGCATGAACAGGTGTATCAAGAATTTTCCAAGAGCAAACCAAAAGCAGAAAAGCTTATTTAAATTGTAAATTAACCTTTTTATAAAACATAAAACTGTTAAAAGTTAGTTCAAAACTTCAAAATCTATAACCTCTTGATATATTTATTGAGTGATTACATTATTATCATGTTGTTACCAGGCAACAGGTAAATGTAGTAAATTTTTTTCGCCAATTAAAAAAACTTTTTTTTTTTTTTATTTAAGCATTGTTTTCTCATTTCAATTATGGGAATAAAATACAGTTCTCAATCAAAAATATAACTAGACAGATACTGGAAGCTACTAATTAGTAAAATATTCAGGTTTAGAATGTTTAAAACATCTTACCATTTTTTTTCAATTTCTTCTTCATTTTTTTAAAGGCTACTTTTTTTTCTTTATTCATCTGTAGCAAGTCTGGTAGTTTCTGAGATGCTTCTTTCGAGGACTTTTGCTTCTTTTTAGGTAAATCAATAGTGACTGCCTCACTCAGCTGCTAACATGAAAATAAGTAACAACTTTGAATAAAACATAATAATTACATTATTGTACACATACATGAAGTGACAGACATTCTTATACAAATATATTTCATTATAAAGTGCAAACAAGCATGTACCTCACTCCTTGTTGTCTCCACCTCCATATTAATTGAGGCACCACCCTGTCCATCTTCATTCTCTTCCATCACACCTTCTGTAAGTCCTGTTGATTCTACTAAGATTGCATCACTTGGCAAAACAAGTGGTATACCTAAGTAAATGATGTAAAAAAAAAATGAAATTATTTGATCAAATTACAGTATGGAAAATTTTAAATTTATTTTCAAAACGAAATATTTTATATTAGTACAATGCATAAACAGGTCACAAATGTGGACATCCAAGAATATGTGCTTTAAAAAAGATTTTCACTTGTGAAATTGGAGGGACAAGACATTTTTGGTCTCTATTTTACTATGGATAAACGATAAGTCAATAATAAAATGCAATAAAAGGTTGCCTTTAAAATTCATGTAACAGTTACTTAGTTTATCCGTATCACTTGAAATAATAGTGATTTGATGTAAAATGCTTAAATAAACATTTAAGATCCAACAAAGTTTCTTAAAATTGTAATAACAAACCATTTAGTTCTTTCTCCTCTTCATTTTCCAATGAATCAATGTCAAAAGCTTTCCCCATTTCAGCCACTAACTCGGCACTGATATGTGCTGGGAGTGTTTGGGACTCTGGAGGGTGAGTATAGTATTTGATCTTGCCACTGAAAGAAGTAAAAAAAAATTCTAAACTCCTAACATGAAACACTTTAATCTGTACAATAGAAAACTTACAAATTTCATAAAATTGGCTAAAATGTACAAATATTAATTTAATGAAATGTAGAAATTGTTTTATTATAGCACAGAATTAAAAGATTTTTCTTAAATGCAAACGAAGTGAAAAAACAATTTATTTATAATGACAATCAATATTCACTATGTGACACTTGTAAAAAAAATTAATAAAGTAACTCCTATTACTACTGGCTGTATGTAAATTAAAAACTATATACTTCTGTATATATATATATATACATATACATAACTATAATACAAGAATGTACTTATAAGAATCTACAGAAGATCTCAAATGAAAAGGCAAAGTAAAATGCCCAAGCAATATTGGTTATCCAATCAACATTAAGAAATAGCCAGGCACAACATTAAACTGTAGTTACAACATTCACTGATAAAGGGATTTCAGCTGTACTGGATAAATTTAATAAGTATATAAAATAACTTACAGATGTTGTTTCAGTAGAATTCTAAGCAACATGGACATAGTAGGTTTGAGAACTGTAATGGGCTGCAATTGCCTGAAGGCGGCCTTAGTATAGAAGTTGAAATGTCATCTATTCTTTCAACAGGTGGTTGCAATCCATTCAAGATTTAAACCAACTGACAGATGTGTAGTAAGAAGCTTAGTTTTACAAACCATGAATTACTTTGTGGGTTGTTGATAATGGTAAGTTGTATTTAGTGGAATCTCACTATAATGAGTTATGTTGAACTATATCAACAGAGGAGGGTTGTATATATTTGTTTACATATCACTGATCTTAAAAGTTAAATAACTAGCAAAAGAAGCAAGCTAACAAGTTTAATAAATGCCTTTTACCTACGGCTTATTTATTGTACACATAAAACTCTAGTATAGAAAACTACACATTATCATAAGCTATCAAAATGGAATTAAAAGCAATAGCAAAACATGTAGCTTTCATCACCTTTATCAGCTTCTTTATTGTACACAGTTTTGACAGCTGACCTAATTCTCTCGCTACAGGTTTGGTCGATTCAACCAGAATAAATCAAATTTTTAACATATTGAGAATTTCCATGAACAAATTTTATGATTACCTATCACTGTTTTTTGTTTTGCATTTTTTGCATAGTCAGCTCATATACAGATGTATTACTTGTAAGTTTGCTGAAATTTCATGACCAAATCTCCAAATTTATCACACAGAAGATGAAATAAAAAATTACTATAACTATTATTTAACAAAAATGATCAGGCATAACAGGAATATGACATAAAATCAAAATCTTCATTATTAAATGTACATTTCAATCTCCTGATTAGTATCTTGAACAAAAATATTATCTAAGACGGCTCCCAAAAACAAGCTAAAGTTTCAACCTCGTTTGTAAAATGTGGAATAACATCTGATTAAAGTAATAATAAAACTGTAAACAGTCATGAAACAAGTATAAACATTAATATAATCAAGAAACATACTGCAGTTAAATATTGAAAACTAGCATTTTGAGAAAAGCTAAATAAATTACTCTGTTTGAAAGAATGTAACTAATAAAAACAAGGTATGTATTACTTATTTTTCAGTATTAGCACAACTAAGTGTGATGTCAAAAAAGGAGACTGAACAGATTTATTTATACAGAATTAACAAAGAAGATAATTTCCTACATATTCCAGTCTGTTAGCAGTTTTCTGGCAGCTGCTTCAATGTCTGCAATTCCACCTTTTTTCAGACGACCCATTCTCTTGGCAAGTAAACCCAGAAACTCGTGATGGCTAGAATATTCAGGAAGTCTGTAGTATAGCATGAGCTGCAAAGAATAAAACTTTTTAATATCTTAAGCACACTTTTGTAAACTTTTTCAATTAAATTTGAGTTTTTTAATACCAAGGAATTTTCCTAACCACTAGCTTTTAAAACATGGTTAATAAACTTTAAGTTGTAAAAGAGTTACTTTACAATAGTGAATAAAAATTGTAAAAATGTTCACAAGAGGCCATGAACAAAGAATAAGGAGACATGAAATAAAAGTGGCCACTCTTTGTTATATTAACAGATTAATTTGGTTATAATTCATACCTTTAAATGATAGATGTTAACATTTTCCTACAATGTAGTTCCAATATATTCTTACCTCCTTTCACATGATAGAGGGCAGTACAAGTCATGTAAAGCTATGTGCACAAATTGTTCCTCTCCATTAGTCTTAATACTCTCACCTATCCTCACGTGAGGTAGGTGCACGATAGCATGCAAATGAGCATGTGACAACCCTCCACCAATAGGAGTGCAACACAACTTCTCGCACAGCTGACTTCCTCTAAGCAGCTTAACTCAACATTGAGATTGAGCATCATAAAAAGAAAAAGACACTGAAAGTTGGAAGGAAGGTTGGGAAGTGTAAGCAGAGGTAAAAACCTATTGGAAATATATTTTCAATGTAGGAAAATGTTAACTTTCGATACAATATCTTACCTTGGCTCACATAATAGTTAGAATCCCACATAGACCTGGTGAAGGGACCAGGGTGTAACATTAACTAGATAATCCCCTTTCAGAAAGTGCCCAAAGCCCATGAGCTGTGTGAATAATGAGCATGTAAGACACACCCATGGGAGACATCATCTGTTCTGAGCCAAGTATACTCTTCGCCTGTGAAAATGATGTGTTGCAATAATGGCAGAATCACAGGAGGAACACCATAAATTAAATGAAGGGATCCCTGATGTAGAGTGGCTAGGGTGCAGCAGACCATAAGGGAGAGTTCAACCTCAACCAACTCCAACATTACCATAATAGGAATACTTGGCCCATGTAGAAGAGGGTCATGTACTGTTCTCCTTGGACACAGGAACTGGAAGAGAAGAAGATCTTTTGTTCTAAGGACCTGCATTATCATATGTGCATATCCAACAAAACCAACACCAGGAACCAACATCTAGACAATGGTAGGAAGGACAGCAATGTTGAGGTTCAATTCCAATCCAGAACCAGGTGGCATTGGGAATGAATCATCCAGTCCACAATAGGAGGAGGGTACCCGGGCCACTCACATATGAGGACTTATGTGGCTGGTCCAGCTCCAACCAACACCTACACCCCCAGCAACCAACATCAGTGACAGTAGAAAGGAGGATGCCTAGCTGGAGGGGTGAACTACATTGTGGCACCAATAATCCAGTCTATAACCAGACAGCATCTGGAATAGAACATCAGGTCCATGATAGGAAGAATGTCTATACACCATCTACATTGGCAGAACACCACTGTCTTACTCTTAACTCTTTTAGCATGGGCTCGGTCCCTGGGACTGACCTCATAACTATTTTGTGCTTGTTATAGTTTTCATGCTATAACTTTTAAATTAGTAATGTTAAAGAAATTTGTTATATTATCAATAAATATTACAATGCTTTCATATGCAAAATATCAGATTTTTTAAAATAAGTTTAAGGTTTGTAAAGCAATGTTTTTCTCATGTCTTTTTTTTCTTTTTCTATCATACAAAGTAACATTCATTTTAAGATTAAAAATATTTTTA